AGACTTTTGGAAACTAAATGTTTATGGTCAACAGGTTCAAGGACTGTAGCGTCCATATTTCTTCCTTTTTAATGGATATGCATTTAAATTGCTTTTAATTCTATTTGTCATTTTGTGTGCTTTAGTAATATGAACTTTCATATATGCCTGTTTTAATTTTTGTAAGTCATCTTGGAAAGCAAGCATGGTGCAGTGGTTTGAGTGTTGGACTAGGACTCTGAACGATCCGGGTTTTGAATCCCTGCTGAGCTTGTGGAAAGCCATAGGGTGGCAGTGGACAAGTCTCATTTTCTCAGCCTTGGAGAAAGGCAGTGGCAAGCCTCTTCTGAACAAATCCTGCCAAAAACACCCCATGATTTGTGCACCTTAGGGTTTCTAGGTCAGAAACAACTTGAAGGCACACAACAACAACAACAACAACAACAACAACAACAAGCCATTTTAAGTCTCAAGTAAAGAGGAGAAAAAGCTAATTAATTCATTAATCCTCCCTCCTCCTGGTCTTCTTCCTCTCCCCAACAAAGATAAATAATAGTGAGTATGATCGTGATGTGTGTTTCCAATCAGCTTGCCTCCTTGCCCATGATGTCAGAATATCTTGTGACCACCCAGTGGGGAAAAAAAATGCTGATCATCCTTTCCTGTAGCAATAGAACTGTTTTATGCCCTTGAACTCATTTATTGAACTCTTGACCCATCAATATGTATAGACAAAAGTTTTACAGACTGGTATCAATATTACATATTATATTGTGAGCACAATCTGCTTGGGTGGGCACATATGCAGTGCCACCTGTTTGTTTGCATATGCTAATTTAGATATGAATGGATAGATACACAGACAGACAGGTGGAAATTCAGAATTCATTACTGTGCCCTCTTTGCTTTACTGCTGGATTCTACCCTGTGCAGAAGATTGTCAGTGTCCAGGGTCCTCCATTGTTCTTGTGCAGTGCAAATCTATACTGACACAATGGCATGGAACCCTTCTGTTGAATAATCACATTGTTCAACCAGTTATGTATCTGACAATGTACCCATTTGTTGTCCTGTTGTGCAACAAGGAATACACAGTGGCTATTTCTGCAATCCCAGTAAAGACACCAGTACAGTGAAGACACTGAGATGTAGTTACACACAACCAAAGAATGTGTGTTTATACCCTTACAAAGAAGAAAGCAAAATATCCCCATGGTTGCAAAGAAAGAAATAAGGTTATGAATTTAGATTGTAATCTGATATCCATTTATCTGGAAGCAAGCCCTCCCATGGAACCCAGTGGAACCTATTTTGGATATTGTGTCCTAGATATTCTCATAGGTGCATTCCTCACAGATCTCTGAGTGGCAACTTAAGCTAATAAATGTCACCCAATTGTGCAAAAAACATCACAACTAATAAATGTCACCTAATGGAGGGGAACAGATGCTGAATGGCTGTATAACCAGCAATGTATTTAAATGCTATTAATATTTATAATGCAGTCATTCAGAAACCATCAGCACAGTTCTGGGATGTATTTTTGCCGAAGGCATTCCATTTCTCTACACTCAGTTTGCTGCCCCAAAGCAGCCACATCCATAAACTCTATTGCTAAAGTCACACTACTCATTGCCATAGTGGTTCAGACCACCAAATCTGACAACAAGTAAGACAAATTGTGTTAATGAAGCCAATTTGTATGCTTTGATTGGCATGGTGTATTATAGCTAGGGAATTTGACTTTTCTTCTCTATGGAATTGGTAATTCTGCAAAATATCACAAGCAGAATAAATTATGCAAATGGTCCAGATCTGTGCAAAACCTTGTTGCATCTAGACTTTGGAGCATTGATTCCTATGATCTCAGATTAAACAAGATGAGTTATGGCTCTAGAGAGGTATAAATAATCAACAGAACATCTGAAGATTTTGCAATTCAGTTCTCCTGGCAATGGTGTTTAATATTTACACACAAATCGTCTCTTTCTTTGGGTATTAGTCAGATGTATAATGCCATTTTGATAAAGTGCTATGGGGTTTGCCCTAGTTTTTAAGATTTTTGGAGTTGTGTTGTGCTTTTCTCTTTTTTTTTCTGCCTACAAAAATATTATGAGAAACATCTAGGTTATATTTAGCATCCAGCTAGGATCATGAGGTCCAAGAAAGGTATAAGGACATCCCAATGCCACTGGCTAGAGACAAATAACAGGTTTAAAGAGCTTTGAAGGTGAGAAAGTAAAGACATATTTTGGCATGAAACACGTACACTTTTTGTCCTATTGAAATTTCTATGTCAAACAGATTTTGCAGGTTTCTGAAACCCAAAAAATGAGTTTCATGCAAGACATGTTTACCAAAAGACAGTCAACAGTGGGATAAGCATGGATGCTATGTGAAAAGATGTCTGCCAAAAATGCCTCCTTATTACATTTGGTTACATTTGTTCATTATTAGGTATAATGGCCAAGATCCTATGTTATGTTTGCATAGTGTAAATCTACATTCATATAGCTACAGGGTGGTTATGAACACTTCACTTTTTCTGAAAAAAACAAAAACCAAACAGCATTGTTCAACCAACTGCATATTTGCCAGCATTCTTTGCTTATTGTCCTATTGTGCAATGAAGAATGCACAGTGACTGTTTTCAAGGCCACTGAAGAATATGGTACAATGAAGGCACTGGTGAATTATTACTCACAATCCAAGAATGCACAACTGCATGTAAATGTGAAATCATTTGTGGAATTCCACATATGCAATAAAAAAATTAATAAATCCATTGCACAACAACCAAAATTGTTGTTGTAAGGTAACTTATTGTTGTAAGGTAACTTATATAGCTACAGTTGGCCCCCCATATCCATGGAATCTTTATACTTGGATTCAAGCATCTACAGCTTGATTTTTTTTAAAAAAAAAATATAAATTCCAAAAACAAACCTTAATTTTAACCATTTAATATAAGGGACACCATTTTAAATACCATTGCATTTAATGGGACTTGAGCATCCACATAGTTTGGTATCCATAATGTGACCTGGAACCAAACCCAATTGATACCAAGGGCCCACTGTATATGACATCAACACAGTTTTGGACATAATGGCTGAGGTTATCCGGATGAGAGGTTATGATTCATAACGTTATGATGTTGTAACTGTGTCCCTGACAAGACATGAAACCCTTCTAGTGAATTGTGATGATTCATATTGATACATCCTGTGCATTGTCCTGTTGCACTATTTATTTATTTGCATATTTGTTTATGCACTGCTTTTCTCCCATATGCAACCCAAAGCAATAGAAATTCTCAGTGTGCAGCAAGTCCCATAGCATTCTGCTGTTCATTGTACAATGGGTCCCATAACACTGTCATGCCCACTGGGCAGTGGGAACCATGATACAGCAACCGTGCTGTTGGCTCCATTGACATAACAGTCCTGATATATAGCTACCTTACTACTCCCCTTTTGAGAATGTGAATGTTTCACAAAGTTTCAGTTCACCTTTATGGGATCATATGTCAGTTTACAATTACTTAAATACCTAATAGAAGGCCAACGAAAGCTTTCCCTCACCTCTCCATATCTATATATAAAGAGGATTTTTTTATCAATATGAAGAGAGTAGCCATGTGCACAACAGCTAGGATGGTATAGTGGTTCAAATGTTGGATTAGGACACTGGAAGACCTTCTAATTCCCCCCCAGCCATGGATACCCACTGAGTGATCTTGGGTAAGACACTCTCACTCAGCCTCAGTGGAAGGCAGGAGCAAACCCACTCTGAACAAATTCTGCCAAGAAAACATAGTGATAAATGTGCCTTAGGTTTACCATAAGTCAGAAATTACTTGATGGCACACAACAACAGCTATGTGCATTCCAATGAATAAAATGGCATAGTGAAGGCACTAATGAACAAGAATACACACCATCCAAGAGATCCACTCACGTGCATGGCTACCAATACATCTGTTACACACACACACACAGGGATTCAGTGGCTCAAGTGGTTATGACACTGAATCTGTTGATTGCAAGATTGGCAGGTTGGCAGTTTGAGGCCCGGGTGCTGCATGATGGGGTGAGCTCCTGTCACTAATCCCAGCTTCTGCCAGCCTAGCAGTTCAAAAGCATGCAAATGCAAGTAGATAGATAGGTACTACTTCGGTGGGAAGGTAAACAGTGTTCTGTGCAATCATGCTGGCCATATGATCACAGAGTAGTCTTTGATAGCGCTGGCTCTTTGGCTTAGTAACAGAGATGAGCACCACCCCCTATGGTCAGACACAACTGGACAACCTTGTCAAGGGGGATACCTTTACCTTTTACCTACCATAAATCAGAAATTACTTGAAGGCACACAACAACAGCCATGTGCATTCCAATGAATAAAATGGCACAGTGAAGTCACCAATGAACAAGAATGCACACCATCCAAGAATTCCACTCATGCACATGGCTACCATTATATCTGTTAAACAATGGCCAAAAAACTACAACCATGTAAGGGAACTCATGTGACCATAAAACAACAAGATTCTGGCTACCAAGAGTGCATCGGGTTTTAAAAAAAGCCAAGAAAAGCAATTTTTGGGCACAAAACCCTCTTAAATTCATAAATAGACACAAATGAAATAAATGCCTTATTGTCAGGCTTTTGCTCAGCTCCCATTCATTTCAGTAGATTTTATGTCAGAGAACTGCACAATGGTTGTACTTTATAAATCAGAGGCAAGAGTTTAAATGAATTTTATCTTAAAATTCAGACCAGGTAACTGATCTTGTTGGGGAAATTTACCCACTTATCCTGAGTAGAAATGCTTAACAATAATAGTTGTACAGAGATTCATAGACATATTAGATATTCTTTGCATCCTCCATTTAAAGAAAAGATTCATAATATCTGTAGACAATTCTGTAGTTTGGAATATGTAAAATTATAGTATGTATCTCCCAAAGTAAATAAGAGTCATGTAATTTTATGATTACATAATTTTATAATTATAGAGAGCCAGTGTTGTGTAGTGGTTTGTGCATTGGACTATAACTCTGGAGACCAGGGTTCAAATCCCAGCCCAGCCATGAAAACCCACTGAAGGTTAAGGGAGCTATCTAATGTGCTTAATCCTATTCCCTAAATAGGCTACCTTAACTCCTTTAAAATCCAGAATAAAATCTGAAGAGGATTCACCATCCCAGTGGCATGGGAATTGAGTTAGTGGACTGTAAAATATATGTAGTGAATTTTTATGTTATTTTCACATCTAAGGCAAGAATGTCTTACATGCCTTCTAGACCTTTGATCATTTTTAGCTAACAGATTTTTGTTTTCCATTCATTTTCTTTTTCAGCTCACTCCATTCAGTTTTCATATATTCTCCCCCTCCCAAAATCACCACAGTACACTCAATTTAGTAGCATCCCTCAATCCTTTGTACTGAATTTTCAAAGAGACAAGGCTGTTGTATAGACAGAAAAGGGCAGGGAACAGTCTATTTCCACAATCCTAGTTTTTATTATTGTTATTGTTCTTTGCCTTCAACTTATGGAAGCCATATGGATGACAGATTTCCAAGATATCCAACTATCTAAAATACTGCTCAGGTATTAAAAATTCATGTCTATGGTTCTTTGATTGACTCTATCTCTGTGTAATGTGGTCTTCCTCTTTCCCTGCTGCCTTCCACTTTACCAAATAGTATTATCTCTTCCAGCCACTCATGTCATATCATGGTGAGACCAAAGAACAATATCCTCAGTTTAATCATTTTTGTTGTTGTTGCTGTTGTTGTTAGCTGCCTTCGAGTTGACATGTGGCCCTTGAGACACCATTTAACACCTCCCTAAGCCTCCCAGGACATCCTCCAGTCCCTCAAAAAAATTAAAAATTTCTTTCAATCTGTTTTTTGGTCCAAAAATGCCAGAAAAGGGGCAATTCCATAGTAAAAGACAGCATTTTCTCTTTCCCCAACACCTCACCTAGACTCTACAATGACCAAAAATGCAGGGTGATGCAGGGTGGCCAACCAGGGATGCAGAAGGATAAAAAAATGGGCTCCATCCTAGTGTAGTTGCCCATTCCTGTTTTATGGCAACCTCCTGTAACTAACTGCATGGGAAGGGGGGGGGGAAGCTAGATGCTGCCATACAATCACATACAATCACTAATTACAATGTTAAGTCAAACCTACTGATGTATAAACACCTTCAAACCTGAAAGCCAGTTTAATCCAGAGCACCCCATTAAACATAGACATTGCTTTGTATTAAGTAGATTGTGTGCACTGCAGCTGGCATTTCCTGGAATAATGCTGCAAAAACAGAATTGCTGAGTGATTTGACCTGGTGCTTACAGGAACTTGCAAGAGCAATTTACAGGCACACAGTGGCTTTTCTTCTGAGGGAGTCCAAAAACAGCTCTATAAATATTTACATATGATGCACTCATTCCTAAAGAATTTATTAAAAATGCTCACTTAAATAAGTAATTACTCCCATACCCTATTGTCTGCATTCTTCTGTTCTTGTGTGAATGCATTTGTATGGATGTATTGCTAAGGTATTCTTCTGTCCTTGCTACCCAGCTGGAACTCTCGGATAATTTAAGAATATTGTCAAGGCTTTTTATATAATTGCTAGCAAAGAATTTTATGGTAGAAGTAAACAATACAAATACAGTGAGTTTGAGCTATTAAAAATATTATTCATTCTTTTGCATCTTTACTCAGAAGTAACCATTCCTGAATTTAATGGCATTTTATTGCCAAGTAATTTGTAAGTAGGACTGCAGCTTTTTTTCTCTCTACGAATTATTGGTTTGAATGCAAATTCAAAATGGTGCTGATTGACCTTGTTTGTAGTGATAAATCTATGTGCCTCCCTTTTCAAGGTAGACACTTCAGAGTATCACCCCAGCATTGCAACACTTTCGCTTCCCAGTGTGAAGTATGATGTAAGGAAAATGGGACACTTGGTGTGTGTGGTTTTGTTGTTGTTGTTGTTGTTTTTTAAAAAAAGCCCAACAACACATACACAGAGGACATCTGGCCTGCAACAGCTGTTTGAATGTCATAGCCACACTGCAGAAGTATATAAGATTTGTCAGATTGGATCAGATTAATGTTACCTGCATCAGATGTTTCAAAGGATGCTGGAGAACTCTCCTAGTAAGCATCTATGCAAAAAATGATGAACCAACAACGGGCAAAGTTTCATGTGCAATATACAACTGAACCTAGTTATCTGTAAACCTGTCAGTTTAAGATCTTTAGTATCCTAATGAAAATTCTATTCCTCCGGAGATGCAGGCCATAGTCCTCTATGTATGTACAAATCTTACCCTAAATTCCTTTAAGAGCACTTCCTTTCCTTTGCCTTTCCCAACTTTTGTGGTCAGTCACAGTTAGTCAGCTTCCTAAGTAGCACACTGTGACTAGAGTCCTGTTAGTTAGTCCCAGTTAGAGGAGTTTTTATTTGCCACCAAGTCAACTTCACCTTCTGGAGAGTTTATGGAGATTATCGCATACCAAAAAAGTGACTTACCCCTTCCGGGATACAATCGCTTATGGGATGTAGTTGGATATCATCACATAAAAAGTGCCACTGATGCCGCCAGGTGACTGCATCTCAACTAAATCCCAGCTCCCAGCTGTGCTCAGCTGTCTGATTTGCAAACATGAAAAGCTCCCATGTTTGCAAATCAGCCAGCTGAGTGCAGCTGGGAGCCTGGATTTAGTTGGGATGCAATCTCCCAACGGCATTGGCAGCATTTTTAATGTAATAATACCTCACTGAATCCTGTAAGTAACTGTATCCCAGAAGAGGTAAGTTGCTTTTTTTTTTTTTTTTTTTTTT